GGTGATGGATTGGGTCTTATATACGGGGTGGGTGGTTTAATCCTGGCCGCTGGATCAATTAAGATCGATGGCTAGGATTAGAGGAGTTAACCAACACGGCGTCGTTTGGTTTAAGTAGGGGGTCGGTTCGAACCGGGAAACGGGTCGAGTTTAGGTAACGGGTAAGGGGATGAAATCCCGGCCGTTGGATCGATTTAATCCAACGGCTCTGATTAAAAGGGCCAATACGACACTGTCTGAGGCGTCTCAAAGCTTGCCCAAATCGGACCGGATCTGGGGGCTGTTTTGGGCCTGGGTTNTATTTACCTCAGGGATTCGAAATCAAAACTGACCCAGGCTCGAACTCGGATTCGACCATTTTTGGGGTCGAATGGACTTTAATCGAAGTGTTCTCAACTGAGAACACCTAGGTTAAAGTATATTAGACCCCGATCCTTTTGTTGATTTAGACAGACCCCCATAGATTTGTGTTCTAGGGTTCTTGGGGCTCGAATTAGTGGTTCGAGCCTTTCTGGTTAGATTCAAACAGAACCAAGGTCATTCAGGGGGTGAGGAAGGTCAGGAAGATGAACGGTGTGAATTTGGGCTTGGTTGGGGTGAGTTAGGTTTTTGCTCGAATCTTCGATTGAAGATTCGAGAAGCTGTAGGGTGATTCGAGGTAAATGGTTAACGGATTTGGAACGAGGNTTTAACACCTATAATAATTAACACACAATATTAAAAAATAAAATCACACAATGACAAGAAATACACGTGCATATTTTTTGTGATTTTCTTTTAACCAAATTATGGTTAATTAATTCCTAAATGTACCACTAATTCCTAAATGCATGCAACATGTATTTTTGTATTTTTAACTATAGCAAGGCGAGCGTTTACGGACAGAATAATTATCAAAATGTCACGCAAATTCTCAAAATTGTACCCGAAGGTAACTTGTTTTACTTTTTTGATTTCTTTTGGAGTAGTTTCCGCGAAGCAAAAATCACGTGCTCACAGCTGCCCCTCTTTGTCCGAAAACGCAAAGAACTTTCGTGCAAAGATAAAGTGAGCAGACACGAGCGACTTTGCTTGTTGGAAGACTCCGTGTGAAGCATTTGTTTTGAAAAGATTTAACCGAACCTTTGCTTCAAAGGTTTCCTACATAACCCTGGCTAAAAGGGAATCAGGTTAATGTAGTCCGGGAAGTTTTGGTGGCTGGGACTACCATGGGACTGCGATTTGCTGTTACTGCTGCTGCATGACGTTACTAATGCTTACCGATCTCCTTATTAAACTGTGCTTAAAAGAAAAATCAAGAAGCTAGGCAAGATAACGGGTTACAAGATCCCATCTATCTTCTATTTGTTCTTGACGCCTTGCTTTCTTGTCGGCTTGCGTCTATTCCAGTGCTTCTTTCTTCCGAGAACTGACGGGGATGATACCGGCCTTTTGGGGATACCAATTCTCACAGTCTGGTTCTGTCCGCTGAGGATATGGCTTCCTTCATTAAGCTTTTGCTATGCTGGGAATAAT